AAAAATACGCGTTCTTAGGCTCCACCCAGAAATTTAATAAATGTGGGATAGGGCCTAAGATACAATTCTTTTAAAGTGTCCCCAGATTTGAAAATTGTTGGACTAGGTGACACCTGAAATGTTATTTGCTCAGCAAATTTAGTGTGTGTTTTTTTGTTGTTCTGTATTGGACTATATATAGTTTACTGTCAAAAAAACAAGGGGAGGGGGCAGAGGAAAGGAAACTAAAATACAAGAGGTTCCTAATTGATTCCGGCTGCTATGTTAGGAATTTTTATATATTTGATCTCATTTCACAATCTCATCATGTAATAATTGTCATCATTTTAAAAATGAGAACACTGAGTCGAAGACCAAGTAACGTACAAGGTAAACAACCAGTTAGGGGCAAAAATGGTATTTATGTCCCACTCCAAAGTACATACTTTCATTCCTTGTTTTCCCGAAAGGACAAATTCCACATCTTTTCTTTTTTGGCCAAAAGAACATTCAAAACTAAGAGAAGTCCAGAATATAATTACTGAATTACTGTCTATAAAATTTAGGATAATTGTCTAATATGTCAACTATAATTGAAAAATTAAATTTAAAAAACAGGATAATTTTAACTCTAATTGCCTTTTTGTCCTTCAGTTTTTAAGCACTGAATGTACTTTCTCTTCACATTAGATATTTAATCTTATAATCTATGCATAAATAAGAACATTCGATCTTTAAAATTTTCCAGGTTCTTTTACAAAGTACTAAATGTTTCTTTATAGAATATTCACTTATTGCTGTCTACCTTATGATTTTATAGGCTGCAATTTTTTTTCCCACAAAATCTTTCTAAAACTACAACTTACCATGAAATCTCATAAAACCGCTCCTTTGATACTGCTGACAGTCTCCAAAAAAGAGAGTGGTCAGGGACTGCTGGCAGTTGAAAAAGAGCTTGAGCAACCTAAAACCATTAAGAAACTGCATGGGGAAAATCCTGGTAACCAGACGCCAGCATGCCATCCACTGCAGCTGACCCAGCCCTGGCGCCAGCCCATTTCTTGCTGGCTGTGTGGCTCCTGTTTAAGGCGTCACTTGTGATGAAGTTCAAGAGATCTTTGTCGTATTTCATCAGTTGTGGAAAACAAGCCTTCTAGACTTAAAAAAAAAAAAAGCTACTTCCCAACTGTACAGCTGTATTTCTAATAGCTGTCCAAATTTCCCTGTAATCTTATTTCCACTGATGAATTCCAAAAACCTTTAAAAGAGGACGTCACCTCTCATATTGATAACGGAAGTCCCACTATCTTCATTCACAAGCTGGCAGAGGCAAGAGTCTACACTGCTCTCCCACCTTGATTGTAGCCAGAGCCAGCAGAGCTGGCAGGTAAACAGCTGCAGCAAGTCAAGCCAAACTGACCCTTTTTTTTT